TCATACAACTCCTTCGATCTTCTGAGCTCCGATTTTCGCAAACCTCATGCCCCCAACAACTCAGCTAGCTACCTAACTGAAAGCTCCACACATGCTGAATTTCTGTCTGAATCCACGACCAAAACTCCTCTACTCGCAAAAGAGAAATCTATTTCTTCTCTACGTTGTCAGCTTAGTTAGAGCCCCTACCGTCTCTTCCTTATATGCTGAACCAGGTCTAACTGCTTGCAAACCGTCCAACTTAGGCCTGCTGTGCAGGTTCTTTCTCTAGTTTAGGCGAAGCTTTCCCATACCAGGCCAGCCGCAAACTCCCCAACCTTTCCAATTTTCCTGGCGGAATAACCTGCAACTGCCTCTAACACACACATCCACCACTTCAATCTTTTATGTTCGTGCCACAGCTTCTACCTCTTCTATTCTGATATGCCTTCTCTTCTCTACATTTAAACACTTTCAAATCGACCTCCAACAAACTCTTTATTTTAGTTCTCTGTCGCAAGCTTCCAAAGCTACAGTCAAAAGCTCCCGTGAGCTACAGTTCCATCAACAGTATTCTTGCACGTGATCTTTTTTTGTTGGGACATTTAGGCCATTTAAGGCAAACTCACACACACAACGCATACACATGGACTCGAACCTTGGACCTCTTAGTTGGAAGCCTAAGCTTTCAACCAATAGGCCAAGAAGAGTTGTGTCTTGCACGTGATCTTCAATTGCCCATTTTCTTCTTCTGAATTCCCGTCACCTCCACACTAAAGGCCAAACGAAGGGTACAGTACAATTACTCCACTTTAATCTAATATTATAGTTAACTGCTTATATTAACATAATATTGAGGTGGATGTCCTTAACAACATATAGTAGCATTGTCATGCAGTTAAGCTATTTATTTAATCGAATTAAATGTCATTTACTGTTGTAGGTTTAAGTTCTCCAATTCTATTTATTGTTATATATGTATGTTTATTGTTAGATTTATTTGTTAATATATTATCCATATATATATACTTGTAAAAAAAAGAGAGTTTAAAAAAAAAAAAAGAGAAAATGAGAGAAGTAAAAAAAAGGAAAAAAAAGAGTAATAATAATAATAATAATAATAATAAAAGAGAAAGAGAGGTTTTTGTTCATCTCATCGTCGTCGCCAACCATCGCAAATGTATGAATATCTAACTTAGATTCTCATTTCGGCGTTCGCGGCGCACCGGCAAACTGCCCATACATGCTTTTCTTAGCGTGGTGGGAAGGAAATCCGGTGCGGCGCCTACGACGAGGCGGGCAATCATCTAATATCTCTTTCGGCGTTCGTGGCACACTGGAAAACCGTCTATACACGCTTTTTTCTAGCGTGAAAAGATGGAAACTCGGTGTGACGCCTACGACTAGAATGAGATATTCATAAGCCGGTGCGACGCCTACGGCGAGAATGAGATATTCATAAGTACCCGCTTGCAGGAAAATGACTGTGTTTCTTTTGAAACAGGTGCACGAGACCCATACACGCCTTTCTCTGGTGTGGTGGGGGTTAAAGATTTCATGGCCGCAGTATCCTCGTCTGAGGGCACCTACCGTACACGCTTTTCTTTAGCATGGAGGGAGACCCAGTTTTTTGTAGTTTTCCCTTAAACAGGGGAGACGCCGAGAGGTTGCCGAAATTTCGAGTGAACACAAAACTATATTTGGACTTGTATTTGGACACAATGATTTATAAAAATACTCGAACCTAACCAAATTGAAATTGAATATGAACTTGAACCTACATTTGATTTGAAAATCAAATGATATGAACAAAGATTTGAACATTTGAACAAAGTGCAAGAAGACTTGAGTTGGATTGACACAGGGGACTATGATTGAATTTGGACTCGGACTGAACAAGGACTCAAATCTAATTTGAACTTGAACTATAGGGAACCAGACACAGAATTGGAAAATGCACAATATAAATTAAAATACAAATCCATTGGACTTCTAAGTGATAAATGCATAAATGATTTTGATTATCCAAATGAACATTTGTGGAGCCAAAGACTTGTAAAATATCATTTACTTAATGACATCATTGGAATATTTCAAAGTTATTATTTCAATTTGAATGTGATTCTAACTAAAGAATATCATTCATTCAAATCTCATGTAAGTAATCAAGGATCCATGCATACATTCATTCCTAATTTTTGACATGACTTTTTGAACAATGACTATTAACTCGTAAGAGTCATTTCAATTGAGATGAAAATGTTAATGAATTGGGATATCAAGTTCATTACAAATCATATGTAAGAGCAAATAACTTACAAGTATAACTTGTTTGCAAGAGATGGGAAGATTATGAAGGATATGTTTGATCACAAAGCCATGGCACGAGCTCTTTGGGACATGATAATGAACTCGCGACATTGGATTTAACTCATCCTCAGTCAATGATCAATATGAGCATGTGCAGTTTGATCATAAGTGAAGATAAACAAACGTTACAAACTATGTGAAGGCAACAGTAATGTATTATGATGTATGTATCTATTGTCCAAACAAGCACATTACTCTCCTACATGTGAAGAGGGAGAATGGGCTGCAGATGCAAGTTCTTATGAGCTATTGCAAAAGCTTATCATATGTACAACACGTTGTCTACAAGTAAATACAGAACAAATGCAGCAAATGTTGCAATACCTTGTGAATAACAAATCAACACACTCAAGCAAGAAAATTAAAGCTGATGATAATTTTCCATGGCATCCACGTAGAAAGATGTAGTAATCCCTACTACATTCACTAACAAAACGCCGTAAAGGAGAACGGGAAACCCAAGGCAACACTTAGCTCATTTTAGAGCCAGCTGTTGCAACGCCGGAGGTAGTGACGCCCTTCTCCTTCTTTCTCTCCTGCCTGGTGGGGTCATTCCAAGAAGTCGACATTCTTTTCCATTCAATCTTTCCTCCAGCCCAGCTACACATTTACCTATAAACCTTACTCTGATACTGCTAATTGCTACAGTAACAGTCAAATGAGCATTTTCTGTAATGAATATTATAAAGAATTATTTATACAATTGTATGGCAGACTCCTGAATGAATGATTGTTTACTTTATTGCAAATGATATATTTAATAATATTGACAATGAATTGATTGTACAACGATTTCAAAAAAGGAAGACTCGACAGGAAAAATTATAGATAATATGTAAGTTTTTTGCTTTATCATATATTTTATCTTTTTATGATGAAACTAACAATTTCTAAAAAAAAATAAAATAGGCAATGTCCAGTCAAGCCTAGATGAAAAAGATTGAGTGTTTTTTTATTTTACTTTAATGATTTATGCCCCCCCCCCCCCCCCCCCCACCCCCCCCCCCCCCTCAAAAAATTTTGGCTCCGCCCCTAGAATTGCGTGGCTTTAAAATTTTCAAGAACTTCTTGATGACATCACAAGACATTCGGCTGGTGAAAAGAAATGAAGTCATTGAAATCTCTTCACTGAAAGCATGGGAAGGCCTGCACGTGACCCCCTCCAAAAAAAAAATTGGTGCAACCCGTGTCAGCTTTCATATTATTTATTCCAGGCTTTTCCCATTTCAAGTCTTCAATCCATCTTCTATCCGGACCATGCAATGCTTCAGCCGTAGAGAAAGAAAAACTAATGAGGTAAAATATTGAAAGAGAGGCAGGAATGACTTTTCATTATGGACGGAATGATGAAAAGAGAATTTGACGAAGAGTTGTAGGGCTATTTAATTAATTATTATTTAATATATTTAACTATTTAAATATGATTTTATTAAAAAATTTATTGTTAACTAACTATTCATTATCTAATAATAATTATTAAATATTAAATTAAAATCCAATTATTTAATTATTTTGCACTATTAATGATCTAATTAATTACATGTGAAGGGCACATTTTTCTTTTCCTCGCACTTTTTGCGCAATGGAAATGCTGCGGCCGCACACTCATGACTTAGTACGAGAGATCTCCTCTAAAGGATTTGGCTAAAGTTAAATGGTTCGTTTTTCCCTTTACTCATCTCTCACAACTAACGAGTTATGACCTCGAGCATGTCTTTCATTTTCCCTTTCGCTCCTCTCTCACCCCCAAACGAAAAATTGTCTGTGACAGATGTTTATATCTTCTAAGCTCTAAGGGTCATGTTATTTGCATTCTTAATTTTGATCTTATAGCTCCTCTTGGCTCCGATAATTATAAGGAAAATATAACTATTTTAATTTAGACCCCCCTAAACAAAATTTCTGCTCCGCCACTGACTGAAAATGTGACCACTTTCAGCCTTTTAACAAATTTTTTTTTCTTTTGATAGAAACTTCATTTTGTCCCTAAGGAAAATAGAATCTTTCCTTCTCTTCCTGGTAAATTTCTTACCACTTTTTAATTTTTCTTTCCGTGCAGCAACAAGATACTTTGGTGATATAATTTATTTCAATGAGATTAGGGATAAACAGTATCAATTTCTGCAACTTCTCCTATTTCCTAGCAATTCTCATTGTTCATCCTTCCTGGTTTATTGTACTATAGTATCATTAACTCACAAAGTGATAACTCAAGCAATCTATGATTACATATTAACTCAATTACACGCTACCATGCAATTCCAATTCAAAAAAATCCCAGCAAAGTTTAAAGCAAGCAATGTACGTTGGCATGGAGAAAGTTTAAGAAATATGTCTATGCACACGCTATTCCTTTTACGTTTATCTATCATGATTTCAACGTATATATAGAAAAGTGTAAAATGTGGATGCCCGTATAAGGGTATTTTGTAAGTCTTCATCCAAGCTCATTTTATGAAAGCATAAGGATAGAGATTGAAGAGCTTATATAATGCAGATGGAAAAGAAATAAGATTGAAATGATTTGTTGTACCAAACAAACAGATATAACCAATAAGAAGAAAATGAGTTGCTAAATAGATTTCTTGGATAGTTCTAGAATAATTTTACTGAAAATTTCGCATATATTGAAACTATATGACGCTGCATACCTATGGCCTATAACAAAGCGGATGATAATGCCCTTTTCTTCAAGTTTCTTTCTTTTATCACCTTCAATAGTAATATTGTGAAAGGTAAATGTCAACGGCTATTTTTTTTTTTCATAACAAAAAAAATTCTGCAAGAGAATACCATGAAATTCCGGTAAGAGATCATACCCTGAGGCATCCAAGTAGCACGAATTGAATCTCTTCGTTTGCGGCTGTTAAAAGCAGTATTAATTCCTACAACCATTAAATATTTATGTTTACCACCAGTGGCTGCAGCCTTTAGGTCATCTGATAATGGAACTTCATCAAGAATAGACTCCCTTTTTGCCCTTGCTGCTGCTAATTCAATTTCTAAGCTTAATATGGTTTTATCTAATGTGCTGCAGAAATAAAAAACCATGAGATTTTGGTTCCACCTTATTGCAGAAAATTTCAAGTAAAGATTAGAAGATTATTCCATTTGACTTACTGTATAGCATAATTCATTTTTGAAGCGTTGCCTAGCATTTCCTTAAGATCCCTATTTTTGTTGATCTGAAGCTACTCATGAAAAATATCAATTAGATACTATTGTCTAATCGTCAACACACTTTCTTTAGTTTACTAAAAGTGTCATGCCGTCTAGGGGTGTCAATATTTGACACGACCCGAAAACCTGACTCAAACCCGACCCGAAAATTTCGGGTAAGAGTCCGGAAAATCAACCCGTTTGCGAAAACGGGTCAGGTTCGGGTTGACTCGAATAGTGCCAGGTTAATTTCGGGTTTGACACGAACCCGACCCGGACCCGAAATTGACACCCCTAATGCAGTCTAAACACAGTTGTTATGCCCAAGCATAAGAAGCTTTAAATGAATGTATCACAACTCACAGATATTGCACTATCTTCTGCAAATTTGAAGCATGCTATGTTCTAATTGCAGGTAATCCTTGAATTAGTTAAAACAGAGAGTATGAGTTAACTCACACTATTTGAATGGCAACCTCCAGCTAACTTTGCCTTATCATCTTCAATTCTAGTTGGAGTGATTGTATCTTGTGCTTCAGGCAATGACCAGAATCTGCAAGCAGTTTTAATGATAAGCACCAGAAGAAGAATATAGATATATAAATATACACCCCTTTAAGAAATAAGTTGAAAAACATTAATATAATGATGCATTAAGGAGGCAAGTGCCATTTTAAGCTGATAATCATGAAGGAACAATTAAGCAGGTGTATAGAGTGCTAAGATGTCAATATTTGAACTTAATGTTAAAAATGTTGGAGGATCTATACGAGAAATGTTTGGTTATTAATGGCGGCAAGTGCTATTGGAGCTAATAATTTTAAAGGCACAATTAATCAAGTATATACAAGGCTAAGATGTCAAAATATGAATTTAAGGTTCAAAATGTTGGAGGACCTGTAGGAGGAATATGTTGATTTGGAAATCTTTCCAAATCTAGAATAGCCTTGATTTAGAAGGCTTTGACGTCTCATTATGTAATTGATTAGGAGTTGATTATTTCTCTAATTAAGTTGATTTGATTGGAGATTTAATTGATGCATTAATTAGGGGATTTGATTATTGCATAAATTTGGAGATTTAATTAGCATGATTGAGAGATCTAATTGGTGTCATTAGATTTTACCATATTATAACATTAATTAAAGTTTCCTTTATAATTTTGTTTCAAATCTTTAAATAGGACTTGAGGGCTATTGTATTGTATGTGAGAGAGAGCTTGAGAGCTTATTGTAATCCCTATTGTTCTCTAATATAGTGAAATCATCATCTAGACCTGTCAATATTGGACCCGACCCGAAAACCCGATCCGAAACCGACCCGAAAATTTCGGACTTGGGTTGACCCGAACCCGAAGCGGGTCGGGTTCGGGTCTGGAAAACCGACCCGTTTGCAAAATCGGGTCGGGTTCGGGTTGACCCGGAAACCCGAGAATAACCCGAATTGACCCGAAATAACACATAAACCCGAACCCGAGTGCCCCAGCTGCCCCAAGACCGCCTGCCCGGCTGCCCGTCCACGTCGCGTCGCTTCACTCCTTCACGTCCCGAGGCCTGCTTTCTTCGCGTCCCGAGGCGGCGAGGCCTGCGTGACTTGCGTCATTTCCGAACTCCCGCGTTAGCCATCACCGCATCGAGCGGCTCGAACTCCCGCGTCGGCGTTAATTGGAGCCTGCCGGCGTCGATTCGAGCCATCTCCCGCCGTTCCGAACTCCCGCGTCGGCGTCAATTGGAGCTTGCCAGCGTCAGGTTGACGAGGTCACCCGCTCACCGCATCACCTCATATGCCGATTTCTACCCCGTTAGGCCATCACCGCATCGAGCCGCGAACTCCCGCGTGTGACCCGCTGCACGCGCGGCGAGGGTGATTTGGCGAAATTTTTGAATGCAGGCGCGGGACGGCGGGATTTGGCTGAAATAGTTGGGGTCGGGTTGACCCGAACCCGAAGCGGGTCGGGTTCGGGTCCAGAAAATCAACCCGTTTGAAAAAACGGGTCGGGTCAACCCGAACCCGAATCATACCGGGTCAATTTCGGGTTGACCCGAACCCGACCCGTAACCCGAAATTGATAGGTCTATCATCATCCCCTCCCCGTTGGACGGAACCACGTAAATCACCGTGTTCATTGTGTTGTTTTTTGTGTGATTTATGGTTTCATTTTTCACTGTGTTTATTGCACAACAATTGGTATAAGAGCCGAATTTCGATGGGATTTCCAACGACGGTTTGAAGAACGAAAGCAAATCTCTGAGACGTGATCTTATCATATCGAACAAGCAAAGGCTGCTGATTTTTGTTATGAATTGTTGCTGAACCGGATTGGTGCAATTTTGGTGTCGTAAGGCAGTTGCAATTTGGTAGAGGCTTTAAAATCTAGTGGAGTGATGAATACATCCACCTTGACGATGGAGAAGACGTCGATTCATCAGTTGGTTACACATCCCATAAAAATTAATGTGACGAAATTTAACGATAAAGGAAACTTTGGTATGTGACGATGTGATGTGATGGATGTGATGTGCTCTTTGAATCTAAAGGAAGTTCTAGAGAGCAATGAACGTCCTATAGAGATTTCAGAGAGAGAATGACTGAAGATGAGTTGGAGTGTGCTTGTGGCTTGATCATAAATTATTTATCTCAAGAGATCAAGTATGAGGTGATATGGAGACTTTCGCAGTTAAATTGTGGAAGATTTTAGAAAATAAGAACCTGTCGAAGAGCGTGGAGAATCGTCTCCATATGAAATGCCGGCTCTACAGGTTTCAAATGAAACACGGGGTTACAATTAATGAACATCTAAATGACTTCACAAATATGTTGGCGTATCTTTTGAATTTGGATGAAGATGTTGGAGATGAAGACAAGGCGCTCCTTCTGTTGAATTCGCTCTCGGATGAGTATGAAAACTTCACAATGTCACTCATTCATAGGAAGGAGGTTTTGAACTATGGTGAGGTGACTATTGTGCCGCTGAATCATGAGTTTTGGTGTCGGGATAAGGAATCTGCAAAGATAAATTCAGCTGAGGCTCTCACACTTCAACGAAGAATATCTAAAAAGTAGAAGAATAAAAAGAGCGACAGCAGCAAGCAGGGCAAGTATCATGGGTGCAGTTTTGATAAGAATCATTGTGATTTCTATTTAGATACTGGTATTTGAAGAAATATTACCCAAAGTTGAAGGAGAATTGAAATAGAGTTTCCACTGAGGCTAAGGCAAATCTTAGCATGGAAGAGCGTGACGAAGATTCAGATGTAGCACTATCTATAGTTTCTCAGAGTTTGTATTCAGATGGTTCATGCTGGATTCCGGATACTAGTGCTACCTATCACATGTCCCACAAAAGAGTGGTTATGTACCTACAAGGGTCTTGATAGTGGTGTTGTGGCTATGGACAATGATCAGGCATGTCATATAGTTGGTGTAGAGAGTATCATCATTAAAATGAATGATGGTACTATGAGAGAGCTGACTGATATGAGAAACATTCCAGATATTAAGAAGAATTTTCTTTCTGTTGGGACTTTAGAGACCAATAGCTATAAGGTATTCATTGAAGCAGAAGTTTTGAACATATATCATGAAGCATTGTTTTTTCTGAAAGGAGTTTGTCACCACAATCTTTACTATCTTAAGGGAAAAATAGCGATTGGAATAGCTGTTGTTGCTGATGATTCTTTTGATGCTACTACATTGTGGTATATGCAGCTAGCTCATGCTAGAGAGGCTTCTCTTATGGATATGGTGAAGCAAGGATTTATCAAAGAAGCAAGCACATGCAAGCTCAATCTCTATGAACATTGTGTATCTGGCAAGAAGATAAGTTTATCCTTTGGTACTACCATCAACAGTACAAAGGGTATTTTGGAGTATGTTCACATAGATGTTTAAGGCATGACAAAGACAGCAACATTTGGTGGGCAACGATACTTTGTCTCTTTTATTGATGATTACTCCATAAATATTTGGGTGTACACCATGAGTGGTAAGAGCAAGGTACTGGAAATTTTCAGAATCTGGAAGAAGTGGATTGAGACTTAGACTGACAAAATAATCCGCTGTATCATATCAAATAATGAGGGCGAATACACTTCAGATGGGTTCTTGCAAGAGTGTCAGAGATTTATGATAGAGCATCACTTCACTGTTAGAGAGACATCACAACAGAACGGGGTGGCAGAAAGGTTGAATCAAACTTTGGTGGATAAAGTTCGGTGTATGTTATCCAATGTTGAGTTGGTTAGAGCCTATTGGGCTGAGGCGATAAACTATACCTATCACTTGGTGAACCATCTATCTTTTGCAGTTATTGAGAAAAAGACCCCAAAGGAGATGTGGTTAGGGCATCCTGCTAGATTATGAGCATTTGAGAGTATTTGGGTGTCGAGCTTACTATTATGTTCACAATGATAAACTGAAACCATGTGCAAAGAAAATGATCTTTATTGGCTTCAGACGTGGAGTCAATAGCTTCAAATTCTATGATCCAATAAAGAAAAAGATTGGCATTAGCAGGGATGTTACATTTGACAAGGTGAGCATGCTAAAACCTCAGGACTCTAAAAAGGTAGAGAATTCTATTGGGATCATAGTACACTACATAAGTTGGAGTTTAATACAACTCCATTTATTCCACAAAAGCCAATCATTTCTACCCAAATACCTGAATCAGCTGCAGATCAGGAGATAGAAGATGATGTTGAGAATGAGATTCCTGTTCGAGAATCTATTGCGAGGAACAGGACCAGATGCCATAATGTCCCAAAACTAGCTTAGTTGAGGGATCATTTTAAATTTTCACTTTCAGTCATAGAGGTTAAAGTTCCTAGTCACTATAAAAAAGCAGTATACAGTCTTGGTAATGATCTTTGAAAGAAGGCTATGGATGAAGAGATGAAGTCTCTTTAGAAAAATGCTACTTTAAGGTTGGTGAAGCTTTCTACATGAAGAAAAGTCATTGGTTGCAAGTGGGTGTGTGCAAAGAAAAAAAGATCTCATACAGAGCATATGTGCAGTATCATGTTAGGTTGGTGGCAAAAGGCTCTTCATAATGGGAAGGGGTTGCTTTTGATGAGGTGTTCTCCTCAGTAGTTAAGCATCCCTCGACCTGCATTCGCTTGGCACATGTAGCACAATATGGTCTAATTTCTGAATTCTTTCACAGAGAATTTGTAACATCAGTTTTTGCTCCAGGTTCGTCCGGACGAAGTGGATTGTCCGGGACGATCGGTACAGGTTGTTCAGGGAAAACAGTTTTGGCTGCATGGTTCGTCGGGACGAAAGTTGGTTCGTCTGGACGAAAATTCTCCTGTGAGATCCTGTCTGTGTCAGGGAAAATCTGAAATGAGCTCTGAAATCTGTTTCTGAATACAAGTTTCGGAACCGATGATAAGTTCTGTTCTGGTGCTATAAGCACATCTGTTCTGGTGCCTTGAGCACAAAGGGAGGCATAAGGGGCCAGAATCCGAGAGATTCTGTCAGTGTCTGGGAAGGGAGGCATAAGGGGCCAGAATCCGTTGAGATTCTGTCAGTGTCAGGGAATCTGTTCTGTCTTTTGATCTGTTCTGAAATGATATGATTTTTGATTTCCGTATGATATAAGTTGATCTGATTTGTATGATTATGATTCTGATCCGATTCTGACACGCTTCTGTTCTGTTTTGATCTGTTCTGATACGATCCGATGCTGATTTTCCGTACGATTCTGTCTGTTCTGATATGAATGCTGATCTGATATGATTTAATCTGATTTCCGATTTTGGTACGTTCTGTCAGTTCTGATGTGATGTATTTCTGTTTTATTCTGATTTGATTTGATTTGTACGATTCTGTTCCGATTTCTGTTTAGATTTCTGTCTGATGTGTTTGATGTGGACTCTGAGGATTTTGATTGGAGGTTTGTTGTCTTGCTGAGCTGTTGTAGCTCATCCTTGTTTTCTGCGTGGTTTTCAGGTTCTGGGAAGGGGAAGGAAGTCCAGGAATAGAAGTTCAGAGTCTGATTCCGTATAGGTATTTTTGCACTTTTGATTTTTGTACAGTCATGGCTTTTCTGTTCTGTCTTTCTTTCTGTCTGAAAGCCATGAGCTGTATTTGTATATGATTTTTTTGAGGAAGAAAAAGATAGATGATCTGTTCCGCTGATTTGATGTTTATAGTAGCTCTGTGTGCGTCTGTTTTTGTCTGTATGTTTGGAAGAAAGTTCTGAAACAAATTCCAAAGCCAGATCCTGGAATCAGTTCAGTCAGTCTGAATGTTCAGGCCTCACGACCCGATGCGAGCGGGACCCGTCCCGGTCGGGTTGGGTCATGACAGAATTGCAGGAGAAGATCTATATATTACAACCGTCTAGATATGAATCCTCAAAAGACTTGGTTTGCACATTGGACAAGTCTTTAGTTGGAGTAGTGAGAAGGTTCACCTACTGTAGAAGTTTGGTGAATATTAGAGCTCACAATTGATTGCCTACTTATTTTGAAGAACTATTGATGTAGAACTAAATATGATTTAAATGATTGCAATAAGAAGTTGCACGCTTTTGAGTAAGAGCAATAAGAATAAAAACTTTAGCCGCTTAACGATAATAGAAAATAAAAGAGGGGGGATTCCGCTTAGGCCAAATCACATGCTAATAGTTAAGATCACCAAAACAATTAGAATTTCAACATAAGCAAATTTAGGAGATTTTCAATAACATCCCTAGATTAACAATGAAAGTAGATGCATAGAAAGTCATAACTCATTCCCTACATTTACAAAGTTTTGGCAGATAGTTTTACACTATTCCTTATGCTTGATTCACAACCTACAAGAGAAGAAGGTTAGGGGGGAAATTGAAGAGGAGGAAAAGTTCACCCTTGTCGAGGCACGGTGGTGATTTTCCACTGAACGGTGGAAAGCTGCTCTTCGATGGCGTCGGATAGGGTGAAGATGATACGCTCCAAGTACTCATCGGCGGAATTGTTTACTTCTGGATTGACGTCGAAGACAGTCGACCAGAGGATCTCGGCGACCGGAGGATGTCGACGAAGCCTTGTTCGTGTAGACGAAGCCAGATACAAGTTCAGGATAGGCCATGCATCGATTTCGTAGTGTTGAAGTGTTGTAGAAGACGTCCTCTGCTATCTTTAAGGATTCCCCTTGAGAGAAAGAAGTTTCTCTCAAGAATCCAAGCGGAAGAAAGGGTGAGAGGGTGGCCAGCCAAAGAAGGAGCTTGGGGAAAAAGTATGTTCAGATTTTAGAGGAGGGAGGATGGAGGGAAATTAAGAAATTATTTTTCTAGTTAATCCTTTATATTGGAAAGGATTTAAGGGTGATTTGGAAAGAGGGAGGGGGCGGGTAAGAAAGAAGGATAGGCTTTGAATTCTTTCCAAAGAGAGGATAGTATTCAAGTGGGGCAAGGAGGGGACCGACAGCATAGGGAGAGGGATTGGGGAAATAAGCAAGGATTTTATTACTTAAATGAGATTCTCAAATTAAGGAATAGGATTTAATTCCAATCTAATTAAAATTTAATTTGGATTTGATTTTAGAAACTTTCCTAAAATAGGATTCTATTTTAGGAAATGTTTCAAAATTCAAATTTGATTTTAATAATTGAAATTGAAAAGCTTTCCCAAAAAAGGTTAAGTAAGAAAGGAAAGTAATGATGAGGAATTTGAAAATTTGGAGGCAAGGAGGAAGGGAGAGGCCGGCGGTTAGGCTAGGGTTTGGGTGGGGTTTGGGTAGCTTGGGGATAGGGGATGGAATGTAAGCAAGTAGGACGGGTGGGATGGGAGCTTGACCAAGAGGGGAGATGGGGTTAGGATGGCTAGGGGTGGAGGGACTTGGATGGGCCGTGGGGTGGAAGGGAAGGGAGGGAGAAAGAGGAGGAAGAACTAAGAAGAAAATAACTACGAACCCAGACTCTTCCAAGGTTGGTGGGTGATCCACTTCCCTCTCCTAGGGATCTCTCTCCAAAGACTCTCAAACTCTCACAAGAACTCAATTTGTAGGAATTTGATGATAATTCACTCATCAACTTCAAAGAAACATAAGAGGGCTATATATAGCCTCATACAATGAAAGGAAAAATAAAAGACGACATAGCCCCTACGGCTTACATGACAAAACCTTTAAGTAAGGGTACAATGGGAAATGCTACTAAAACAAATACATAAAGCAAATAAATAAAATAAATACATATGAAGACTCAAAAATATATCGGCCCAATCGTGGCCATAGATCGACATCCACGTCTCTGATATACTTTCCATGATCTGATGCCCTCATCAACTATGCTCAACTTTATCGCTTGGGAGGGGGGTACCTAGGCAACCATTTGGGTGTTGTCATTCTGATATTGGAGCCTAGTTTGTTATCTTTTTATTTTCAAGTGAAAGATAAGGTGGAGATTGTTGATTTGGAAATCTTTCCAAATCTAGATTAATCTTGATTTAGAAGGCTTTGATGGGTCATTATGTAATTGATTAGTGAGTTGTATTACCCTAATTAAGTTGATTTGATTGGAGATTTGATTGATGCATTAATTAGGGGATCTGATTATGCATAAATTGGGAGAATTAATTAGCATGATTGAGATATCTAATTGGCGTGATTAGCTTTTGTCATATCATAGCATTAATTAAAGTTTCCTTTATAATTTTGTTTCAAATCCTTAAGTAGGACTTGAGGGCTATTGTATTTTATGCAAGAGAGAACTTGAGAGCTTATTGTAATCCCTATTGTTTTCCAATATAGTAAAATCATCATCCCCTCCCCGTGAACGTAGGCATCTTTGCCAAACCACGTAAATCGTCGTGTTTTTTTTATGTTGTTTTTGTTGTGTGATTTATGGTTTGATTTTCCACCATTTTTATTGCACAACAGAATATTTGGTTATTAATGGTGGGTAGTGCTATTTTAAGCTAGTAATCTTGAAGGCACAATCAAGCAATTCTACATAAAGCTAAGATGAACAAAAAGGTTCAAAATGTTGAGGATCTGTAGGAGGAATATTTGATTCCGGATATTTTGGGAAATTTTTTGCCTAAGATGGCATTCCTAAGATTCAAGACAATTATTTCAGTTTTGCAAGAATTCTTTGTCAAACAAAGATAGTTTCCTATAATTGTCAAATTGGTGCCTTGCAAAACATTAAAAAGTACGTATTGCAATTCAGCAGAATTGTTAGGTAGTTCAAGAACTGTACATCATGAACAAACTTTTGCTCGGGATCTTGTTTTTCTCAAATAAAATTAAAAATAAACAATAAGAAGAAGAATAGGACATTACTGTAGACTTCTTAAGGAAATAACTTCAGTATTCATCAAATCAGCAAACACGATATGATCCTCAGAAAAACTTTCAAATCCCCATAGTTGTCTGCCTGTCAATATTCTGTATTTATCTAAACAGTTTATGAACTTGTTGTTGCTACCAACGAATTTATCTACAAATTTATTGCATCAATAAGAACCTGGCAACACAAAAGCAGGGACTCCTTTAATCTGCCAAAACAACTTGATTTCAAATCTATTTTGACTCAAGATTACATTTTCGGTTCATTTGGTTGCTGAGGTTAAAGATCTAATTTTGAAAAACAGTGAAGTTTGCTAAATTCATAATTTGTTTAGATTCAAACTCCACAAAGATTGTTGAAACTCTCTGATTTCATTTACATCAAAAATCACATTAGCAAAAACACAATAAACATTGAAATCCGGTAAATTAATTGCTCTTCAACAGAAGCAGCTGCACTAAAGAACAGAAAATACCTATTTGTGAAGAAAAGCCCAGCGCAGAAGCTTAAGATGCAAAGCATGAGCGTCCACTTAGTGGAAACCACACCTTTGCCCTTCCCATTCATAGCCACTCTCCTCTCCTCTCCTCGTCAATCCCTCACTCATAGAACCACTAAACTATTCTCATATCAAATACGAACCCCAAGCTCCTCATAAAACTTCAATCGCCTCTTCTCTCTCTCTCTACCTGTGAGCATCAGCACTGCAATAAGAAAAGGCCACATGACCATTCTCACCCTTTCTCTCTCTACTACCTCCCACTCTCTCTCTTCAAGAAGGCTATGACTTTATTACAGAAATTGTAGATTGATGTACGCATCACAACTACTTCTAAATGGGCATGGAAGCCACATTCACGCGGCCATGGCTTTAGCAATTGCGTGATGCCCCTCGCCCTCTATGTCTACAGTAAAAACCAAAGAAGGTGAGAGTGACTTGGTTGGTTAACAAAATTTAATTTTCTTGGATGTTGGGTCCAGTCATTCCATGCCAATATTTCCATTTTCCAGCATACAATTGAGAATTTGAGATAAGAATGAATTATTTTGTGCGGTCATCTCAATGCAAACAGAGGTGCATCAGAACGCATCACATCATTTTTTGTTGTGTATGGATGCTGCATAGCAATGTATACTGGGTGACGTAGCGCATTTTGGTTTACTTCCGGACAGTCCGGTTACCGCATAGAATAATTTCTCTTTAGATAAGAGAGAATTTTTAAATAAATTTAACAATTATGTATTTAAACTTTTAAAATTTTAAACATTTTAAGTATTTTATATTAATATTTTATAAATATGATGATTCACATACTTATGAGTCGAGTTGGAGTTAATTTTTTAGCTCACTCAGCTCAACTTATGAGTTATTTATCAAGTCAGAATTCAAATCAACTCAGCGGTTGATTTCTATATTTGTAATAATCGATTTCTCTGTGTTTTTTAAAGGATTTCAGCAATGACAATACTCATGTTGTCATTAACCAACCTTTTGATCCATTTAAGAGTAACTTGGTGTATTTGTATATTCACATATTTATACTCATGTGAGTAACTCGTAGGTGGTCAAGCAGGTCCATTTTTTATGGGAGCATCCAAGAGGAACATTCGCCTAAAACAAACCTCGTATTGGCGCTTTTATTTGGTTCGGTTGACCGGATGCAAGAAACATCCGGTCCTAGACAAAAAAACGCCTGTACCGAGGTGTACCGAGTTTTTTTGAAAAAACTCGGTACACCTCGGTACAGGCGTTGTTTTGCCTAGACCGGATGTTCCTCTGTATCCGGTCGGAGGACGTAATAACGGCTCCTCGTATTGAGGAGTAGTTGCGGAATTGGACTATAGAAAATTAGTTTTTCAACTTGGCGGAGCATGCAGTACATGAGAGCTTGTTTACGGAGGATTGGATAAAGGATGTCTTTCCCTAATGAGATCGGCCAAAAGATTCGTCCAAGTAAGACTTCACCTTAAGAAATGTTTGCCCAATCAAAACTTAGCTTTCTTAGCAAGACTTCAATCTACTAGCGGTCATGCTCATTTAAGAGACTTGTCACCTATTCTTTATGACTCGCTCGAGACACTTTTTTTTTTAAAACTCACATAAGGAACTCGCTATGAGGCATCTTGAGCCACATCAGAGGTATAAAGCCGTGTATACATCTCGAACTAATTCATATGTCTATGTAAATCTATACTTATCATATCATACATTACGGTTTTCTTATTGTTTCTTAAAACAGCTTTTTAGTATAAAATTTTAAATTTTTGTACTAGAAAACTAATTTAAGAAGCAATAAGAAAGTCAACTCAAACAAAACTTAAGTTTGTCAATATAGTTAAGTGTCATCTACGAACAAATTTAAATTTAATAATATTTGCTTTCACTTCTTTTTTTTTTAAGAGAGTGAATATCTTTCAAGATTTTAAGTTCTGGTACCATGTTTTGTGATAATCATCATGTTTATTATTGGCAATAAACCTGATATGCAAGAGCTATAGCTTGTCCGAGATCAGTGCTTTTTATTCGCTTGCTAGCGTATGATGTAAGATTCATATGCTTCATAATTGTTTTCATCTTAATGAAGTCTAGGAATTGAGCTTACCTAGAGCTGAACTTGAACTTCTCAGCTCCAATGGAGACCCAACTAACAAAAAGCATCCACCAAAGCGCTGTGCGGATATGGACACCGTCAGGTGGCGAATCACAGCGCGTCACATAACTCCTTTGTTGTGTACCGCAAATGTGTACCATTTGATGTGACACACTTTGATTCATCTCCGAATAATCCGATGTCCGCACAAAATAATTTCTTAAAAAGTTCAATGTTATTGTTATTATTTTTTATAAAACATAAATATTTTAGTTTTGTTCTTTATTTTTTAAAAGATAGAAACGTAAAATTTATTATTTTAATTATGTTTGAATTATGATAAAAGATAAAAATATAAAATTGAATATATCAATAATTCCTTTGCAAAACTGATTTTATTATCAACTCATTCCTTACAATTAATATTTAGGGGGCTAATTTCTGGGGTATTATTACCTTGTCTTGTATTTAAGAAATTTTAATTTTAAATTTTTAGTTTCGCATAAAGTAGTTACGATTGTTCAAAAAAAAAAACAGTTATAATATTTAAATTATAACTAAATTTTGTATTTTCCTACTAAAAATCAGAAGATTTATATACGTACACCTAAAAATTTCTATTTATTTATATAACATCCTAATATCGAAATCAATTTAAAATTTATATTACATTTTAGATAAATTAATGTTAATAATATTTTTATAGTACATAAATATTTAGATTTTACTTTTGCATAAGTTAATATAAATATTTAAATATTATATTTTTAATTATAAAAAAAATTACTATAAGCTAAAAATCCCCCAATATTAAAATAAAATTTAATAACTAACTAAATTATATCTTAAAATTCTAACAATGAGGCTTATGAACTTAATTATCTTACGTTCTAATATTAACGCTAACATAATCTGCTTGGTTGGACGAGTTGCTTCAAAAAATGCTTTTTATCCTCAAAACGTAGATCAAACTCATATGATGAGTAAAAGATATTTAAATTATAATTCCATATAAAAATCGAAAGTATTTTTAAACGCCAAAACAGTTAAAAACACTATAAAACTAAGAGAGGCATACCCACCAACTAACAGGAATTTTGGTATGATAAGAACCTAAATTAGGATCAACACGGATTCAAAACAGGTCAAGTTCAGGTTCAACAATTCGATTCTTTTTAAAAATCGGGGTTGACTTTGAGTTGGCCCTTTGACCCAAAATTAACCTGTTTTTGACCTGAATTCCAACCAAAGATCAGTTATCGCCATTATTCGCCTTGATCTTAAAAGCTTTTCACTCAAAAAACCAAATGAATTCACCAAAGCTACTTGCGAAGCCTAAAGCATAGTCGTTGGAGAATTCTTGAGGATTCATTAATTCTAAGTGAAGTCACTATTACGCCGGCCCAGGAGGGGCTGGCTGGACCGGTCCAACCTGGATCGGTCCGGGTCTACTCGCGACGGAACCGAACGAAGCAGGCAGAACCGAGCGGAGGGAGCAAAGCCGACGGGGGCCAGGCAAGAATTTTGGGAGGGAAATTTTGAATGCGAGGGAATGTTTAGACATTTTGTAAAACTCCTTTATGGTTAATTAGGAGGTTAGGAGGAAAAGGGGGATTATCTTGATTTTGAATTTCTTGGGAGAACTAAGTTTGTTCTTGGGCTCTTGGCTTTGCCGGAGATCGTGGAGAGTGCTTCCTTCCTCTCGAATGAAGGAAGATTATATCTTGCAAGTGCTTTTATCTACTATTGAAATAAAAGTGTTTGCTTTGTTTTCCTACGAATTTCCATTGAGTTTTTTCTCCGTTTTCCACTGTTTGGGCTGTGTTCTTGCTACGGACAACAGTTTCTTTGCTTAGGTACTTGATTTGGGTTAGGTTTACTTGTGCAAACGAGTATTTCCTATCAGCCACCAGCAACTTTACTTGAATTCATCATATACTTGGAATTTATCAGGTATTCTTCATGTAACTAGGAAAGATACAAGCAAGCTATCCTATATTCCTATATAATTTTAGGATAAGCACTTGTTAAACCTTTGATATAGAACTTGTATAACTTAAAATGTAGCAAATCTTGTCGCACTATGCGTTAACACAAATCTATAAATAGGGGATCAAAGGAAGATCCTGACACATTAATCTTTTACTGGTTGTCAATCTAGTAAAATCCTAAAGTTTCAAACTTTAAGCTCCCTTTCTCTCTCATCTTTTCTCTTATTATTATTTATCTATTTTTTGTTAACAAATAAATCTGAATCTAACATCCTTTCAGATAAACAAATTTTGATCTAATATCCTTTGGTAGAATAAGTGTGGATAAATGCATAAGACCATAAGTCAAGCAACATAACGAAAGACGATGGGAGGGAAGAGATCAATTCCAATGTAGAATTAAGACCTCTTCCACTGGCAGATATTTGAACAAGATGGAGGAAAAATTAACATGAATTACTTGAGAAGTTTTGGAGGGAGAAAGCTGACACATACTCAAATGTTCGATGGCGAAGAAACAAAAGCTTGGACCAAGAAAGCTGCAACAAAAAATCATCACAAACTGGGTAAGAGCTATTCAAGTAACACTCTGCTTTCACAAAGAATGGTAGAATTAAAAGAAGGCCAAGAGGTTGGTGATTGTGTTGATATTAAAATTTTTATAGAATTACATCTAACAAAAAAGATTTACACTTAAACCCACTTGCAACTATAACAACAAAAACAAAAACAACATCAAACCTTTCGCCCACTATGTGAGATCAACTATATGAATCTTTTTTTTTTCCATTATGTCCCATTAACAATCAAATTCTCATTTAAATCTAATAAAGAAAGGTCACTTCTAGTATTTTCTAACAATGTCTTTTAGGTCTACCTTTATCTTTTTCATAAGCCAAGTCTAAGAAATTTACTTTCTTAGCCGGGTCATCGGAAGGCTATTGTTTTATATAACCAAACCATCTAAGACGACTCTCTACAATCTTATCTTCCACTGGAGTTACTCGAACCTTTTCACGTATATGCTCATTTCGTATCTTATCTCTAAGAGTAAAGCCACTCATCCACATGAGCATCCTCATCTCTGCAAAATTTAACTTAATATTATGCTTCTCTTTTAATGGCCAACATTCTGTGCCATAAATTATAAAAGTTTTATCCCATTAAATTTGGAGAATACTCTTTTCTCTTTTGAGAACTTAATTCAACCATTGCAAGTTATTCACATATCTAAGAGAATATTCAATCCTACAATGCCTCATAGCTATCTCATCAACCAAAAAATTTATGCTAGTATGATGACAAATGGAAGTGATTACATGGACCCTTTTTTCTATAGATATTGCATTAAGTATGTTCACACCTTTAAAGCCTAGACAACTCACTTCATTTTGTTTTGCATTCATTTCAAATATCAATACTAATAATACTGCAAAGTAGTCTAAAGAATAAGCAAAAGCCATCTTGTTGGCATCGTTCATATCATCATAACCACTACAATTGATGTAACTAGAATCTTCATCAAGGTGCAAAATCTTACATGAAATGCAAATATTAGATTGGAAAGAGACCAATCATCAAACAATATACATAGATTTCAAGTAGAGGAAATAGGTCAGCAACCAAGATGCTTTAAAACAAAACAACAACAAGCTTTATCCCACTATGTGAGTCGGCTACATGAATCTTTTTTTCTCCATTGTGTCCTTTTAAGGATCAAATTCTCATCTAAAAAACCCATTTCAAATATTTCTAACCAAGTCTTTTTAGGCCTACCTCTACCTTTCTTAATATAAGTGAAATCCAATACATCTAATTTCCTAACCGATTCATCAGATTAAAACAAGTTGAAAGCTTCGCAGATTTCACACATTAACACAAGGTAAACACAAGTCCATTAAACAGGAATTCCATTCATAAACTTATAAGCAATGCATATGTTTAAAAAGCTAAAAAAATGTTCATTCAATGACAGTCTATAACATCATTCAAAAAATAACATAATAACTTTTGGCACACCCTCAAGAAACCATACAATATCAATGTGTGGAATAAAAGCTTCATCTTCTCAAGAACATTTTGCAGATCTTCATTGAACATGTGCATCAAGAAACATAACTTCCTTAACTTGTTAAATTTAAGCTTGTTTTTCTCAATAACTTTTGGTACCTCTTAAATGAACTTGATTGACTTGAATGAACAGCACTTGGCTGGTTTGGTTGGATTGAATAGTTAACATTTGGTCAAGTTGAGCGAACTTAATTTAGTTGGCTTGGTTGGCTCAGATAATTTGCACATATTTGGCTTGGTTGGCTAGAGGGAATTGCACTTAGTTGGCTTCAATGGACAACACTGGCATAGTTTGGTTAGATTAAATGGTGAACACTTGGTACCTAATAATCCATAAAGGCAGGCATGAGGTGAACAAATCCCATTAAAAGTCATATTTATATCTTGCTATTATACTTACCAAATCATTCTTCTAAAATGAAAAATCATACTACTCATTCACCACAAAATACTCCTTCAATGATTCTCAAGTCTCCTTTATCAAGTCAAATGCAATCCATCCCTACAATCGAATGGTAACCCATCAATCCATCTCTAATGTTAAAATCAATGATACACATCTGGATCATGTGATGAGTGAGGCGTTTGCAACTCTTCTGATTACTCCAAATGAGACTCATCAGTGTCTATCGCTTATCTTTAGATCTTTATAAAAATCTACCCTGTTTTTTTTTTCACTTTTGAGAATTCTTAGCCTGTGGCTTTTGATGGTGGATCGTCCCGAGTATCTATTGCTTATATTATTTCAACGCCAAAATTTCCAAGACAAAATTAACTTTTGTTTCCTATTTTGACAGTATTTGAAATATAATTCAACATAACCATCTACAGAAAAAGCATTTTAATAAGTCTTTGAAGAATCCTTAATCTAAATCTTCAGATTTAAAATCCACCGCATCCTCGTCATAGCTTAAGATTTTGTGTTGAAGCATTGGATTTATGGTATATTCTCAATAGAGAAAAAAGAAATGCAATTCATTGTACCATTTCTAGTTGGAAAACAGGACAAAATGCACAGCGTCGAGGAGCCATTGAATACTGAAAACAGATAGTTGAAAATCTCTATAAATTGAGAAAAAATCAAGGAGACAACGCAGACATGCATCAGTCGATAAATTTTGAATCCCCACAGTTAAAATCGGTTCAAAGTGAAGAAAATAAAAAATAACATCATCTGCACGTCTTTCGTTATCATCCGAAACAGGAGAGAAACAAAAATATGAAAAAGAAAATACAGGAGGGGGCCTGTAGAAATGGCATGTGGTCGAGTCAACAATCGAATCGCCAACCAGAAATCTAAAGGGCGACTGAAACGATATCTCGACTTATTACTTTACCTCCGCTTCGGATCCAGAGAGTTACATCGTATCCCTCTTTGCTCGCAAAGAAACGGAGGAGAAAGATTGAATACCAAAAATTGCGAAAATTAACAATACAACAAGAAGATAAAAAAGAAGAAGAAGAAGAAAATCGACGAGCGAACACAGTGAAGCGGGCATCGAGAAGAAGAATACATCGGCCGTCGCTGGATTTAGGGCTTAAGGCAGTGTACACTGTACGTCGTTTATAGAGGAGGCTACTTGCACGTGATGCGCACGTGCATGCTGTCTTGTCGTTCCTCTAATTAAGAAGATTACTTGTGCTTAGTGTTAATTAGCCAAGGAAAAAAAATGTTGATCAGGAAGTTCTCAAGCAATGAATCTACTTTTAAATTAATTTTGAAATAATAAAAGAGGATATGTATAACACTCAAAATTCTCATTCATATATTTAATATTTAAAAATAACTATTTACATTAAATAATTCTTTATTAACAATGTTATTCAAAATTACTTTGATCTCGTGAGGCACGAGAAATTTGTGATAGGATCTCATTAGCATAAAAAGTGTAAATAAAGTTCCGTATGTACTATGTATTAAGAAGCAATTAAAAAATCGTCCAAACGAAGTCTTACTTACACTTTCGATGCATTTTGTACTGAAACTCTGTTTTAAGAAGTAATAAAAAAGTCGTCTCAAATGAAGCCTAATACCAATGACATATGAAGGAGAAGTCATGATATGAGCTTCCTGGTGAGGGCATTGATTGGATGCGATGCCTAAAATGAAATAAGATTTCATGAGATATGTTAGGAAAGCACAGATGATGGAATCTCGCCATAGGAACTCGTTGTCAAAGCTATTATTAGCGAGACGAGATGTGTGAAGAAGTTAGGATAACTAGATAAGAGCTTGTTCGCAAAGGCACCAAAGGAATCATGGAGGACAACGAGACCGGTGGCACTTGAAGGGTGATATGACCAAGTGTGTTAATAGAAAGAGTCGGTCTAAATGCTCTTCTTATGTTTTTTGAAGTTTTAAATATTTTTGAGCAAATAATTTTTAGGCGATAATTATATACATTATAAAATTTTGAGTGCTATATATTAAATCCTTCATGAATAAAATATAAATTATGAGTGATTGGACATCTATTTCTAAATAGTATACTTATTTTAATATTGATTTAAAATTTATTAAATTTATCACAAAACTATGAAATCTATCTAATCTAATTATTTTGGAAAAAAAACTTGACATGGTATTCTAATTAAATTTGTAATTATTATGAATCTTAAACTTATTGAATTTATTTTGAGATAAATATAATATTAATTTAAATTAATTATTCATATAATACATGCATCTCAAAATAAATTCAAAGCTTTGATATTCATTGACCAAATTTTAATTAGAATATTATGACCCAAAAATTTCAATTATTAATGAACCATCTCTTATGACCAATAAAAAAACAATCAAATAAATGCCAATCTAATTAGAGCTCATTTAATTGTAAATAAAAACTACAATTTAAAATTAGTGAAATGGATCAGCCAATCTTTCTTCCTACTAATACTTTTTTTAATTATGCTTATTTATGAATTCTTTTTAAAATATTGGTTTTAATTTAGGAGAATTTACATGCATGACAGTAAATAAAATTCAACTTTCATATTTAACATTTAAACTTGGTCATTTTCTGTAAAAACACTTAAAACTTTAAATATTAACAAAAATATCAATAAATCACATTTAAATTCACTACCTAATAAAAAAATTCTTTAATCCTTAAAGGGGTATTTATAAGAATTTGATGAGGGTATGTTGATCCTTCAGTGAACTTGATGATATAGTATATGATAAGTTGATGCATACTATCAAATAGATTATTATGGACCCACCATAAGATTAAGATTAAGAATTTGAAAATCAAAGGCTATGATAGCCCCATCACAAGATTAAGATTATGAGTAATGATGAAATCAAGGACAAATAGCATCATCAATAGTCATTTATAATAAATTGCCTTGGTACTAAAAGTACTAAAATTTTAATGAAAACTAAAGATTAAAAATCATAATTTTGCATTTTAAAATTTAAATCTTCAACATTTAACTTTCTCTCTCTCCATATTATTAAATTTTAATTTACTCTTCCCTCATATTAAATTAATTTTGCCTTATATGAAGCCATTAGAGTCTACCACTATTTATTGGGAGCAGTGTTAGAGTGGTTCCACTCCACTTCCTTACTTGCTCTTTGTAGCTTTATTTTATTTTATTTCCTTTTTCTTAGTATTTCACTCATTTTTATGACTTTTAAAATTTGAATATTAGAATTTGATGCAATAATTTAAATATTATTTGAATGAATGAAATGGGAAGTATTTATATTTCAAGATTGCATAGTAAAATCTCTAGGGTTGAGAGCTTGTGACCTGCCCTTCCTCTTTTGGGTTCTTTATGCATATGGTGGAAGATCTTGATCTAGATATCATTCTTTTACTTGCTTATCTCTCTCCAATTCTTTCTTAATATATTCATTTTCCTATCATCATCTTAAAGTATTTCTCCACAACTTAATGTCATAAGAAAATTTCTAAACCTCTATTAAAGCATACAACAATATTTACAATTCTTGTCCTACTTTTGGTTGCCCCTCCTCCATCACCCCTAAAATACTTTGGATATCCACCATATGTTTCAAATCTATCATCCACAAACTCCCTGAATATTTTATGGCCTTTTTACTCTTTCAATGTACTATTAAGCTCCTTCACTAACTTGATGTTTTCATACGAGTCAAATTTGTTCAAATTAGGTCACCTTGACCTAGTCATTGATTTTCCCCATCATTGAGAATATGAACCTCTTAAAATTTCATTACACACTCCAAATCACATCTAAATTCACTACCCTAACATTCTCAAGTTTCTCCATTCCTTGAATCTCCTCTTCCATAAGAAATCTTAAGTCCAAATACTTGAGATTCTTAGGAATAGCCATGACATAACAACTTGCCTATTCTCTTCCTTTTAACCACCAACTAAAATAAAATTATTTCAACCACTCAATAGTATCCATCGCAACCTTATCTCCCCAATAAAATAGGTGAAAGCCTTGGATCACCCATTTAAAAGCTAGGTCATAGTTGTGATGATACAAGGCTAGGCCATAAGTCATCTTAAAAAATAATTTTTTAGATTACTAATTAGATGATAATAAGTATTTTTGATCTATTGAAAATTAAAATGGAGAATTGATGAGACATGTCATTATTAGCAATCATGTTTAAAGCTTTACTATTGACGTCTAGGATATTTTGGATTGGATAATTTGGCGAACCTCATTTAATTAAAAAGCAATGCCTTATATGACAAAAAAAATTATGTTGGATTATTAGCTTATTAGCATTATGATGAATTCAAACAACAACAAATGTTTCGTTTGAGACATCTTTCGTAGTGTTTTTTAAAACGGCTTTCTAGTACAAAAATTTCAAATTCAAGAAATTTTTGTACAAAAGATATGTTTTAGAAAGCAAGAAGAAAGCCGTCCCAAATTAAGCCAAAACCAAAACCACCAATATCTTGTACTTTCTTTGTTCCATAATTATGATTTTATTAAAAACCTTGATGCATACAACTAAACGATCGAAATGTAATGCAGTTTTTAAATTTGTATCAGTTGACCTTTGGTCAGGAGCACAACTATGGGCAAATTCCAAAAGCAACTTGAAATCATTCACAAGTACATGAGGTTGGCTTAGAGCAAGATCTAGTCCTTAAAAGGAACTTTTATTAGGTTCGGTGTAAGGACGTAGATGAACGTTCGGTCGGAGACAAAATCCCGCCAAAAAACTCAATATTTGCTCGGTATTACAAGGTATTATTTGATAATAACGAGGAATACCGCTCTGTGAAGATCAATACCGAGTTATACCGAGCTATACCGAGTTGTACCAATTTTTTTCTAGGAAAAACTCGGTAAAACTTTTGTATAACTCGGTATTGCTCGGTATAGCTCGGTATAACTCGGTATTGGGTCTTCATGTGATGGTATTCCTCGTTATTGTTTGGTATTGCTTGGCATTTCTCGTTTTTTGGCGTGATTTGGCCTCCGACCGGACGTTCCTCTACGTCCGGTCGGAGGACGTAATAATTGTTCCCTTAAAAGAGGACTAAAAAAATTATATTAATTAGTAAACCAATTGAACTAGAGTTTAACTCAAGTTGAACTAACGAGTTCAAACAATCTTAAAGAGAGTGGCTTTGGACTCGCACTCAACCCATTATATCACAAGTTAAGTCATTTTTTCAATTTTGTTATGATATATTATATATTATGAGATCTCAAGAAAATATTGCTCTATATTTTACTAGCAGTTATGAGATGCGAAAAGTAATGGGGGATATATATCTTCTATAAAATGAGTGGAGATCATATGGAGCAATGATATTTACTCATATTTATGCGTCCTTGATGCATTATAGAGGCCATAATTTGGACTCTTGAAAAAAATAAAGTATGATAAAAGAAGGGGAAAAATTTTCTAAACATGAGGCAATCAAATACTTAAATTTTTACTTTGGGCTTGTTTGGTTGGCTAAAAAAATAATGTAGTGTAAAAGGAATACTTTGGAATCATTTGGATGAGTGTAAATCAAATGCAGCTGAATTTTTTTTTTTTAAGTAAAATGAATTTAGTGTAAAGTACAAAAATAGTGTTGGGCGGCCATGGTGGTAGTGGCCGGTGGATGGTGGTTGGCAATATATGGGTGACGACGATGATGGTCGGTAGTTGGTGGCGGCTGGTAGTGGTGTAGCATGCATGCGGTGATGGCGGGTGGAGGTGGTGGTGGCAGCGGTCGGTAGTGGATGGCAGGCAGCAAGTGGTTGCGGTAATCAAATAAGCTTGCTTAAGACATAACCAGTTCTTGCTCCAAACTAGGTGAGTTTAGTTTACCTAAAAAAATTAACTAAAATGATTAAAACTATATTTACTTTACTTTACTTTGCATTTCTTTTTCATCCAACAAAGCATCAATATTTTCAA